TAACTCTTTGAGATCTTTCTTATCCTTCAAATTTGCTTGCAAGGCATCCCTAGCATCAACTACATTTCGTAGCTGCAAAATTGAAAGTTTTCCTCCAAGATGTGGAAGCTCCCCCAATTCTCCAATAGTCGACCCAGTAGATTTGCCCACAATAAAATCGGACAATGTTCTCAAGCTTTTCAACGTACTCATTTGCATTGGCATCTCTGCAATTTTAGTTCCACTCACGTCAAGATGATGCAAATTAATTAATTCCCACATGTCTTCAGGCAATTTAGTGAGAGAATAACAACCTCCCAACATTAATTTCTGTAAATTTATCAATTTTCTCAAGTCTGCAGGTAATTCAACGAGACGGGAACAATTTGACAATAATAATGTCTGCAAATTGTAGAGGCTGCAAAGTACACTAGGTAACGTTTCAATTTCAGTATTAGAGAGATCGAAATAGCGCAAGTGAATGAGCTTTTTAATGGAATCAGGTAACTCGGTGACATTCGTATAACAAGACAATGACAACACCCGTAAACATGTTAGTGATGGCAACAAATTATGCAGAACCTTTTTACTTACATAATAACGTTCATATCTGTAATATGGGTTTAAAGAGATAGATAGGAAGGTACGCAAACGCATAGTCTCTTTTAATGGCTCAAATTTAACAGCAACATCTAATTCTTCCCTAGCATATGACAAATGGCGAACTCTTTCTACTTCATGTGATTCCCTCCCTTCCCACCTGGAGCAAAATCCTTTAGACATGAACACCGCCAAGTCATTGATGAGATCATGCATAACGAAACTTGATTTCCCCGACGTTTGAAACAGTGATCGGGATAACAGTTCATCAAAATATCCCTTAGCCACTTCTTCCATGCTATCCCCATTCTCCGCTTGGGGAATTAAACCTTCCGCCATCCAAAGAAAAACAATATCTTCTATCTTAAATTCATAGTCTTTTGGAAAAATTGAACAATAAATAAAGCATCGCTTTAACTTAGCTGGAAGATAATGATAACTCAATCCTAGAGCAGGAAGAATGTCACTTTTCTCATAAGGTAAATCCCAAATGCTGCTATTTAGTACTCTGTTCCATACCTCAGAGTCCAGCCTGGAACGTAACAAACCGCCAAGTGTTTGTGCAGCTAAAGGCAACCCATTGCACTTGCGTGCAATTTTCTTGCCAATTTCTTCCAAGGTTGGATGTGAACTAGAGTTTACATTTGCATGTTTTGCAAGTAAGAACCAGCAATCTTCATGCGACAATGGTTCCAAGGTTTGAATAGGAACATTTTGCATGAAAGATGCTATATTTGTGTTCCGTGTTGTTACGAGGACTTTACTTCCCCTTGCTCCTGAAGTAAAAGGAGTTTGGAGGTAGTTCCAATCAGTATATTTCTCATTCCAAAGGTCATCCAATACAAACAAAAATTTCTTCCCCCTCAGTTCTTCACTTAGCTCAACTTGAAGCAAATTCAGATCTGTCTTTTTACAAGGTTTTGAAGTCACTGACTCGAGAAGAGTTTTAGTTACCCTGATAGCATCATAATCTTCTGAAACACAAGCCCAAGCCTTAAGGGTAAAATGCTCTTTCACCTTATTGTCATTGTAAAGCATTCGAGCAAGGGTTGTCTTGCCAACCCCACCCATTCCAACAATGGGGATGACAGACACATTTTCCTCACTTGCATCATCGAATAACACTTCTAATAAATTTTGTTTGGCTTCATCTCTCCCATATACACAAGGTTCATGAACCAAGGAAGTTGTTGGAGTTCTTGGTGCAACCTTTCGCCCAACATTTTCTCTCAGACCAAGAGCACCTTTCAGTTGTACAAAATTTTCTAATCTTTGTAACAACTCTTGTATCTTAGCATTCATCCTTCGATAAAATTTATTACGAGAAGTAGGGAGGAAGGTACACACCTTACTTGTGAAATTGTCGGTTTGAGCATCACCTTTCAGCTTGCATCGCAAATCTTCATAGTTGATCTCATCCAGCAAGTCTTCCGCGTCAAAGACAGCGTGTTTGAGGTCGTCAAGCCACTCTCTCACAGTTGGTTTCTCAATTTGCTTCTCCGCATCATCGAGAAATGCATTCAAGGTCAACAACGTCCTCCTCAGTTTATCAAGGAGAGGTTGATCCAGTTTCTTGTGCCGAAATAAGTCGACGAACTCGCGTGAAGCAATTCTATCACAAATCACTTCGATGGAAGCAGAAATAAGGGCCTCTCCGATCAAAGCTCCAGCCATTTTTCTCTTGTTTTCTTTGCAAGGGAATTGGATGAAGGTAAGTTGGAAATACAGGTAAGGCAGTATGAAAGCTTTTTATGTATTTATATCTAAGTTCCGTTGGGTGGCTGTGAGTGAGTGTTTGAGTTTGTTAGCCTTTAAGTGATCATAATTAACTTCTAATTAGCGTGTAATATTAACTTTTAAAAAATCTCTCACTTTATTCTCTGGGGGGACAAACTTTTCAAACTTTTCTGTGGCCTCACATGGGGATGGGGTCGTCCTCGTCACCACCAATCTATACATGCAGAGTTGGCCATCGACGTGGATAATGAATGATGCTTTCACATGTGAAAAGCAGTCATGTCTCGTTTTCTTCTTCAAAAAAGTAAAAGCAAAAATAGAAAGATTCAGATAAGAAATTCACTAATTTATAAAGAAATCGATTCATATTTGAAGTTCGAGAAACAAGATAAAATAAAAATTAAAAAATAGAGTATCATATACTTCCAACAATTGAAAGGAAAGCACAATAGCTTCAATAATCTTTACACAGTAGCTTCTTCTCGCTGAGAAACGTCAAATTGTGTTGGTAGGTGGTACCAATACAGCCTGGTTCGGACTGTTGGAGGATGACATTGACAAGACAACAACAATAATTCTACTGCCCGCAAGTGGAAGGATGCGTCAGACTCCAGTGCCATTATTGATCTCTTTGCCAATCAACGCCCTTCACAAATTTAAAAACATACAGTAAGGGGTTAAGAGAAGAAAAGTAAGAAAGCGAACAAAATCAAGTAAGCTAATCAGAGACCAGATCGGACAAGGCATATTTTAAAAATCATACGAAGACAATTGAGAAAAATCATAGAATGTGAAAATTGTTATAAAAAGTTGTTTGTTGATGATTACAACAAAGTTGTTAAAGAGTATCCACAATTGGTCATTTCCATATTTGATTTTTCTTCGGTGTTCATATATATTAAGTGCGTATACCAATAGCACTGAGTGATATATTTTTAAATGATTCAACGATTATGAATTTGTGACGTAGTGGCATGCTATGATATACATAATCAAGCAATTCATTCAAAGTCAACAGTGTTCTCTTCAGTTTCATGAGGAGAGATTGATTTTCTTCTACTAAAATAAGTCGATAAACTCGCGTGAAGCAACTCTATCACAAATCACCTTGATAGAAGCAGAAATAAAAGCCTCTCCGATCAAAGATCCAGATGCTTTTCTCTTCTTTTCTTTGCAAGGGATTTGGATGAAGTAATATTCCAAGGTTTGCAGATAGCTCAGATAGCTCAGGTAAGGAAGTATGAAAGCTTTTTAAAAATGTCTTTCTCTGGGGTGACAAGTTTTTAAAACTCTTCTTTGCCCTCACATGCGGGATGGGTCATTACCATTAATTAATTCAAATTGGGTAGGTGGGTTTGGACTGTTGGAGACTGGAGGATGAGAAGACAAGAACGACAATTCAACGGTCCTCAAGTGGACCAGACTCGAATGCCGTTGATCTCTTTGTGAATCTACGGCTCTTAACAAATTTCAAAAGGTGAGGCTGTGCCTGTGACTATTCTCTTCCGGGGACAGAGTTTCCAAACTTCTGTGGCCCTCACATGGGGGATGGGGTCGCCATCGTCGATAATGATGAACGATGCTTTCACGTGTGCTTTTAGAATCATTCTTACAAAATTAATAGTCATTTCATTTTTAAATGATTCAGGTCTTGCATCGCATTTCCTCTTCTTCTTCTTCTCTTTCATTCCTTTTTGTTTCCCCTGCATTGTTTCGGCTTTCGTATGGTTTAGCAGTGATAAGCTCATCTTGATGGAAAAAAATATATCAATTTACACATGCCCTTTGATGGACTAAAAAGTGTTGAAAACTAAAGCTTGAGTAATTGAAACAATAATTGGAAAAGTGCGTCTTATTTATCAAAGCTCTAAAGCTGGGCTTATATAGCCTTACAAAGAAACTGAAAGCAGAAACTTAAGCAGCAAACCAAACCCACGTCTAATATCTAGACTGATGGGATTCCCCTAGAAACTAGGATAACAAATAAACAAACACTACCTCACGTCCCTAACACCTAGGGACAACTAACTTGACCAATTCAACTAAAACATAAATACTTGAAAAATCCTAACACTTTCCCTTAAACTGAATATCATACAAACATTCAGTTTACATCATAACTTGAACAAACCCCAAGGAGACCACGCAGCTTCTCAAATGTCTCAAGCTTCAAAGGCTTTGTTAGTATATCTGCAATTTGATCCTGACTCTGGCAATGAATCAATTCAACAA